TCATGAATGTGATATACAGTGGTGCCTCGCAAAACCATTTTAATTCGTTCCGGGAAAATCGCTGTCTTGCGAAAAAATCATCTTGCAAGGTTCCCTATGGGAACCTCACAAGACGAATGAATTTTATTCGTCTTGCGAATCATTGGTCTCGAAAAAATGTCTTGCAAAGCATGGTCATAGAAAAAAACATCTTGCGAAGCACCATAGGGATCGCTAAAACCAATCATCTTGCAGGTTTTTCGTCCCCTGAGGCAATTGTCTTGCGAGTCACCACTATATTGTGCTTCTGTAAACATGATTCAAAAAGTCAGAAACTGTCCTGATATTTTTGCACAATATTGTGCCCATGTTGCCAGCAAGAATAGTGCCAAGCTATGCATATCAAAGAGCAGCCTTAGGGTTGAACAACACCAGTGGCAGCAGTCAAGGTGGTCTACAGCAGTGGGTCTTAACCTTTGTTACTCGGATGCTTTTGAACTGCAACTGCGAGAAACCCCAGTCAGGACAGCTGGTGGTGAAGGCTTCTGGGAGTTGCAGTCCAAAACTCCTGAGTAATCCAAGGTTAAGACCTCTGGGTAGTTTGGGCGGCATATAAATTGAATAAATAAATAAATAAAATAAATTGAATAAATAAGAACCAGTGGTCTACAGGATACCCTCTTCTGCTCACTATCACAGCCCTGACAATTGCTGTGTGTTTGAGAGAGAATTGTTAACTAATGAAAAAAAGCCAGCGTTTGGGATTTACCGTTGCATATTGAAGGGGAAATGGTATGTGTATGGTAGTGAGCACAAGAGGATAGCCTGTAGATGTATGCCATCTTGACTGCTGCCATTGGTGGTGTCAACATTCAAGCTATCCTTTGCTACACAAAGCTTGGTATTCTTTTTCCTGCTAGCAACACGGGCACAATATTGTGTAGCAATTTTGGGGCATTTCCTGGATTTTTGAATCATGGATATAGAGGCACAATATCCCACATTCATAAATCTGATGGTTTGTTTGTTTGTTTGTTTGTTTTTGAAGAATTGGATTTTCATTAAGGCTCCCAATGCTTTGCAAAGCTACCTAAGTTTGTGTAAGGCTCCCTTCTACTCACCTGTTTGGTAGTGATAACTAATCAAACCATGCTAGCTCCTCTTACAGCAAAGAAGTGGCCTTGATATTGCTCATGTTTGTCTGTTTTCACATTTGTTTCTTCCTGTCTTTTCTTCACTTTACAAACTCAGAAGGAAAAGTCTGCCACCTGGATTCACCTTGGAAGAGATCTGTATGCTCAGTGAGTGTCTCTTGCCACGTTCCATAAGCTGCCTTTTCCTTGGTGGGTGGGGTGGCAACATATTAATGATGGGGAGCATTTCGAAAAGCTCTGAAGCTAGTCGTGCTTGAAGTCTTGCAGGTGAGTCACCCAAAGGATGTGGGTTCAGATTCCGAGCAAGATCAGTGTGGTTTTCAACTGGGTTGAGCAGGTAGTGGGCAAGTCAAAATATGACCATTAATAAGTGGAAGGAGAGGTTGTTGTATGCAATCCTCCTCTTTGGTTTTCAGATCAGGCATGCCTTCTTCACAATATTTCCTTCCTCTTGTCAGTCCCTTTTCTCTTCTGGCCTCCCACCCTGGTCAATATTCTGTGCCATTGTATGTTTAGTCATCACTGGGCTGGTTTTGTGGTTTACTCTAACATGAAGAGAACACACTACAGAATCTGTTATCCACAGCCAAGCCCTCTGATGTATTCACATCTTTTCAGAGGTATAAGGTGGAATCTCAAAACTCGTGAACTTACAGCAGACAGTTCTTAAGCTTCAGTACTCACTTAAAAGCAAGGGACATGGTGGCGCTGCGGGCTAAAGGTTCTTAAGCTTCAGTACTCACTTAGGGAGGAGGAATAAAACCAAATGGACAGAGCAAGGCAGTAATAGGAGCAGCATGTTACAAGACAGATCCAAAAGAGAAAATGGCAGAACACAATTGGCAGCTACGTATCTACAACTCCCCACTGAGACTACACACAGGCTTCGTCAGGATCTGCAGCCCCTTCTGGACAGCAGTAATTCCTTCCCCAAGACTCCAGTGGCTGACATGTACTGTGGTGCCTGGCATAGCAATCGCTCCATATAGCGATGAAATCGCTTTGCGATGGACTTTTTGCCATCGCAAAAGCGATTGCTTTGCGATGGTCCTTCTGTGGAAATTTCGCTTTGTGATGATTGCAGGGAAGCGATCATTGCAAAGCCTTCATTTTCAGCCAGCTGACCGGCGGTTTCAAAATGGCTGCCAGTTAAACAAAATGGCCACTGCTGTGTTTCCTCGCTTAAGAGGCACCGAAAATGGCTGCCCCTATGGAGGATCTTCACTTAAAGGTGAGTTTTTAGCCCATAGGAACGCATTAATCACATTTTAATGTGTTTCTGTGGGCTTTTTATTTTCCTTTAGCGATGTTATTGCTTAGCAGCAATTTTTCTGCACGGATTAACATCGCTAAGCGGGGCACCACTCTACTTGCTTGGAGACAATGTCCGATCTTAAACAACTGTTGACACATAAGAGGTCACATAACACAGATAAAGAGGCAGGAACAAGACCCTGTTGCAGATACAGATGACAGTTGTGTCCCCACATCTGCTTGGGCAGCACCATTGTGAGCTCCAGCAGTGTCACCCACAACATCAGAGGCTTAGCTGTCTGTCACACCATGCAATCTACAGAGAAAAAGACAGAACAGTATATATGGAAAAGAATAAATGGACACAGATCTGATCCCGGAGATAGGAAAACACAAAAGTCAGTTTCAAAACACTTCATCCTCTCGGAGGACATTCTGTGACAGATCACAAAGGAACTGTTGCAGAGGAAAGGAATTACAAAGCAAGCTTTGGAGGATAGACCTGAGCTATCTCTGCTAGCTTTGGTGCTCATCAAGAGGATTTAAAGAAAACCAGGGATTCTCAATGCACTGTGGCCAATATCCTGTTCAGTATTTATGAGCTTCCAGGATGTATGGAGATTCAGCGGCAGAGGCTCACATAGCAATCTGACAAGATGCTGGTCATACACAGCCAGAGATGGACTGGCACCGTGTTGTATTGCCACAGTGGCTTTCAAAGTTAAGAGTTCTGCGTGTATAAATATTGAACAGGCTACACTTGTCCTATTGACCATCTGGCTATAACTGCAGCCAAAATGTTTTTCCTTTAGCATAACTGCTAACATACAGTTTCTTGAAAACTGCTCCAAATTGACACTTCCAAGACTGCAGCCTGCCACTGGTATCAGCTGATAAGACATTTTGATGGCTTCACCTGTTCCAGGATGTCTGTGCAATCAGTATTTTGAAAGCTCATTACCAATTGTCAGCCTCCTTTTTTCATTTCCCTTCGTCCCCACTCCTTTGTCATGTACTCTGGATGTACAAGCCTGTTGCAATCCACAGAAGCACACACAGAAATCAATCTTTTATTATTTAAGTTGCACCCTTAGTTCATTGCCTGTCAGTCAACCTCCCCCTACCTGGTGCCTGCCAGAAAAGGTGGGTGGTAGTTCCCATTGTCCACAGCCAGCTGTTTGCTGTTGCTGATTCATGGTGAACGGAGTGTTGCAGAGTTTGGAATTTCTGGTAAAATTCCTCTTACTATGGAGTAAAAACGCAGAGACTCACAGAGGAGAATAGGTATTTGTTCCCCAGATAATCCACCCCTTTCTTATTAACTGGCACTTAAGTTCTCAGTAACTGAAACATTTGTAGGAGAAAGAATAGAAGTGTTACATACAGTTGTGAACTGCAAAGGAACAAACAACTCTGCTTCCAACATACTAAAGAGAGGGAAAGAAGCACCTAGCTAAGAGGCAGAGCTCTCTTTGAATTAAGAGGCAGAACAGAATGATTAGTTAGTGCTGGATAGATTAATAGCCACTCCAGCCTAGAAAAGTCCCCCTCCCCCGTCACGCAAATCACAGTCAGCATGTCAGATTGTACAAACATCTGCAGGGAGTTTAACTCCAAAAGATCTCAAAAGCACTAGGTTGAAAAATGCTCCTATAACACATTTCTGTTTGGTTGTAGCCATTAGGGGAAAAACAAGGGAGGAGTTAATGTGAGAAGCTTTTTGTCCTCTTGCTTCCTAGTTTTGAAGGCTGTGCCAGAAGTTGCCCATGGGTTGCTGGAGCAGCTACCTGCTGGTCTTGCTACAGCCCTAGTTATAATGTGATCTGATGTTTTCTAGAAGGTTAGTAGCATCCATCGGTCAGCAAAATCAACAAAGCTAAATAAGATGTTGTTGCACTATGGCATGTAATTGGCCCGAGCTGTTGGAAAAAGGGGGAGAGATTGCACATGGCACATGCTTAGCAAACTTGATTTATGACTACGACACTGCCGGGTTTACACCAATCGCAACATAGTTGTTTATTCCAGGCTGCTGAAATTGCAGGCAGTGCCACTGACTGTGGTTGCGCCCTGTGAGTTTATGTGTTGTGTTTCTCAGCTAAGACTGTAAGGGAATATGGAGAGGCACGAGGTGTAACCTGGTCCTTTTTGTGTTCCAGAGCAAGGGGACCGGGGCAGCACCACCAGTCTCAGCAGCGATTTTTCTCTTGTGATGGAAAATTCCCCTGGAGCTGCTGGAAGCTTCACATATGAAGCCGTGGAGCTCATGCCAGCGGGATCCCAAACACAGGCTGCTTGGTAAGTAGTGTTCCTTGTGTTCGCATTTCTAGCCGTGGACCATGTATAGCTGGGATAGATACGTGGTTTCGTGTTGCTGCTAAAAGGCGAAAAGATGCCTGTTTACCTAAAACTTTTGGTGGACTATACGGTAGATGTGTGTATTTTGTACAGAGTCCTTGCAAAATCAGAAATGATCCAGTCGGCACACAAATGTCACCCAAATGGTAGGATGTTCCAACTTTAAAGGCTTCCCTTCCAATCGTGAGGGGGTGTGTGTGTGTGTGTGTACGCATGCACACTAAAATGCTAAATTAGAATAATGATGTGTTTGCAAGATCCTGTAGCTTTTGAATGGAAGAGATCTTCTGCTTGGGAAGTCAGAGCATTCCACCCTTTAGGGCACAGGGGGAAACAGGCCAGCAGCAAGGGTCTTCATGGCACCGAGTGGGGTCTTGCCCTTTCCTCTGGTGTGTGTGTATGTGTGTGTACGCATGCACACTAAAATGCTAAATTAGAATAATGATGTGTTTGCAAGATCCTGTAGCTTTTGAATGGAAGAGATCTTCTGCTTGGGAAGTCAGAGCATTCCACCCTTTAGGGCACAGGGGGAAACAGGCCAGCAGCAAGGGTCTTCATGGCACCGAGTGGGGTCTTGCCCTTTCCTCTGGCGTCTTGAGGGCAGGTAGCCCAGTTGTTGTGTCTGAAGGTATCTGTCCTATCATCTCTCTCCTGCGGTCCTCTAATGAGCCTCTGGCAGCTCCCAGGCAAGTCAGGAAAGATCCCCGCTGGTGAAATCCTGCTCCACTGGAGGAGCCCAATTGTCTGCCTCTGGATAAAACTGCTTTCTATGTTTCTTACGTAGAACCGAGTCTTAAATCTGTAAAATTTTGTACAAACTTAGCTTTCGCTTATCAGATGATCAGAAAGATTCCTGGCTGGGAAGGGAGTGCACAGCCAGCTCTGTGGTGAAGTTGGGGAGGCCTCTTTCCCCCAGCAGTGCACCTTTTCTTATCATAGCCTTGAAGGCCAGGCGGGCTGTGCTATTAGAGAAAACCTAACAAGGTTTCTCCCTCCACGTGATGAGATGGGGGCAGGCTGTGCTATTAGAGAGAACCTAATGAGGTTTCTGCCTCCACGTGATGAGATGGGGTGGGGGGAAACCAGGGCTGGGGATTTCAGAGCCTTGCTGCGGGCTTGCCCTGCTCAGTTTAATTTTTCCTTTTTCTCCCCAAGCATGTGAGCTAATGATATTTTACAGTGCAATTATTCTGAGCTAAATCTGGGCTGTGCTGAGAGGCAGCTGGAAATCCTTTGGGTAGCAGTCAACCCTTGGTTGGCTGTTGTCACGCCTGGCTTCCTGAAGCACAGAGCGTGCGTGCGTGTGTGTGTGTGTGTGTGCATGTAATCTGTTCAGGGTATGGGCAGGCTATAAATGGGCCCCCTGCCAAGTCTGCTCAGCAAAAAAAGCCCCATCCAACCATGTGCACACTGTAGTGAACACTCAGGAGGGGGGGGACAATGACACCTGTACGGGCAGCAGTGTTAGCAGATCTCTATTTAGAAGCAGAAAGTTGTTCTGGGTCACCTTTGGATTTTGCAGGAGTGTCAAGAATTCTGAGCACAATAATATTGATTCTATGGCCAGAAGACCCAGATTTAAGTAGAATAAATGAATGCCATTGAGATGGTAAATTTTATGAATGTGTCCGCTTCTGGTTACACAAATCCTTAACAGGTTGAGCTTTGTGAATCCCATCACACACACAACCCCGGCCCGGAAACAGCACCTTTTAAATTTCATTGTAAGCCGCTGTTTGGACAAGTCTCTTGCAACACAAATCGTTGCAGTACTGCGTAGGTGTCTTCTTGGTGTGTGTATGCTTGTGTGTGTGTATCTGTACGTGCACAGACATACAGCTGCATGTTTCCCACTTGCAGATATGATCCAGGTTCAGTATGTGAGCCTTTGGTGCCATTTATGAGAAACAGTAGCTAAGAGGTGACCATTCAAAGAATAGTGAGGCAATAAAAGTGTAATGGGGCAGTAAGCAGGGATTATTAGAGGAGGTTTAGGACTTAAAATGAGTTTCTCAACACAGGGGCTGTGTGGAGCCCCTTGGCTTCTTTTTGTAGGCTTCCAGAGCCCCAAAGGGTCCTCGCCACCACAGTCACCGATGCACCCTAAAAAGCTCTCCCTCTTTTTTTTTTTTTTTTTTTTATGTTTTCATAAGGCTTTAAAAGAAATTGGTCCTGGAGAAGACATTTTTAGTTTGGGCACCAATTAGCATGCCCAGAAATGCTGGTTTCCTCCCAAACACCGAGTGCAGTTGCTTTTAAAAAAATAAAGATCAGGATTTTGGGGGTTAGGTTTGCCAAATTTCAGGAGGTGGGCGTGGGGGTCGTGCGATGATAGTAGGTGGCAGTGTAGTTGCCATCCTGATTCAAGCAGAACGAGAAACGCTTACTTTTCTCACTTCCCGGCCTCCAGAGAGGAATGAAAGGGGTTGGTGTGTGACCAGATTTTTCCTCCTGACAACAAGAGGCCCCAGAGACTTTCTCTGACAGTGGAAGCAGGGGTTTGTAATGTGGTCACCCAACCAGCCCACCTTTATGTGGTGGAAGCCGTAATCCATGAGTTTCATGGCAGATACAGTTTTATAACTTCCCAAGCTGTCCATCTGTGCCTGGCCTTGGTACACGTTGCATATCTGGCGAGAAACGCTGGCCAAGGTGTCCTGAGGTTGGCATAGGGAAAGGGCTGCTCGGACAAGTTGGCACTGCTATTTTTGTGACCAAAGGAGAGAGAGAGCAGCATCTCTTCCAAGCAGAGAAAGTCTTTTTTTCAGCTACCAGTTTTCTGCTTGCGTTCTGCGTCTCTCCTTGCTCGGCTGCCTCTCCAACTCAAGCTGGGACAGTTGCACAAGCTGCGGGAAGCCCTGTTCTGTGTTTAAAAGCCTCTCTCTCTCTCTCTTTTTTTTAATTGCCTCTCTCCTCTGCCTGCTTGCTTGAGCGCCTGTGGCTGTGTTTATTAGGGACTTCATTAAGTCTCAGCCTTGTGCCCGCACACAATGCCATCATCGCAAGTCGGAGAGAGGAGAAAGACTCTTGAAAGCTGGCCCTGCTGTCTTGTGCTTTCCGGAGCGAGTTGTGGAGGGTCTTCCGAGGAAATCCTGGGGTTTGCAGAGAGCCCTTATTATTGTGCCCAGCCAGGGGTAATAAACCAGGCCTCTGATAATCCCTCAGCAGGCAGCAGGAGAATGGAGGATGGCTGAAAGATAGGGGGAGGGAGCAGATGTTTGGCTGCAGAGAGAAACTGCCTTTCAAGAGCTGCTTTACACAACCTTTTGCTTAACTCCCGAGGAGCCCCCACCTTGCCTTGGTTCCATGTGTGTCTGCAGCGATGCTGGCTATATCTGGTGACAACTTGACAGATGTTTTTTGTGCCACAGCACCTGGGACAAAAGGTCACCCTGCAGACGTGGCTACCATGGACAAGGCAACTTCAGTGGAGCCAGGGCTCAATTTTCTGCTCCACGGGCTGCATGCATGCCCCAAAATGAAAAAAGATGGACCCAGGAGCACACGGAAGCCCACTTCCAGCTTGGAAAGATTAACACGGCAGAGGGAACACTGCAGACAGGCCCCTTGACCTATTTAGAAGATATTTCCCAAGATCAGCAATTTGCTTTATTTTCTTTTCCTTTCCTTTCTAAATGGAGGGCCAGAGAGTCTGATGGGGACAGAGGCAGAAAAAAAAAAACCCGGCGTCATTGGGAGAAACATTTTTTGCCCATCCTGGGCTGCCTGCCGTCTACCTCCATACACACTCTGATTCACTCAGTTGTAGGAAGTTATCTGATTTGCGTGTAGGGAGATATTCACGATCCTTTGTACCCCTCCTCCTTGGCAATGGGGGAGCAGTTCTGAGGCTGTTTGAGCCTAATAATTTGCTTTTTAAAAGAAATTGGAAGTGTCTGAATGGTAAAGTTGTGTATATGTGTATATAGCGTAGAGGGGAGAGAAAATCAAAAGGATATGGGAGAGAATGCACAGGGCATTGAAATGCCTCCTGTAGGAGCAAGTATCTTCTCTTTTACAAAGAATATTTCAAAGCTTTGTTTCACAACAAACCGTGATAGAGGATCAGATATTGAACCCAAAAAGGAGCAGCAAAGTACCGTATTTTTCGCACCATAAGACGCACTTTTCCCCCCACAAAACAGGGGGGTGGAAAGTCTGTGTATTTTATGGAGCGAAGAAAACAGATTATATTTTCCTGTTTTCTTCTCCTAAAAAATGGGTCTTTGTTTTCACAACAAACCGTGATAGAGGATCAGATATTGAACCCAAAAAGGAGCAGCAAAGTACTTATAGCCTTTGGGAGCTAGCAGGCTGTATCACAGACTCTGTAGGCATACTTGTGTACACTCCCTAGGGAACTAAAACTGTGTAATGAGCAAGAGCTGCAGCTGTGAGTTGGAAAAGTCCTGCTGTTGTTCTCTACGCAAGGAGACACTATGTGCATTTAGGCAAATAATCGTGGTCAGGGCTGGTTTTTTCACCTACAAACTGAGGATGCTGGATAGCTCAGTGGTTTAGGCATCTGAATGCAGAATCTGAAGTTGGAAGTTCAATTGCCCACTGGGCCTCTCCGAAAGGGGCTGAACTTGATGATCCATAGGATCCTTTCCGGCTCTGCAGTTCAAATATGATGATGATGACTAGCTTTACAGAGTCTTGTATGTGAAATGAACCAAGTACCAAAAAGAAACGGTGTATAAATACCATATTTAAAAGTTTTGTGCTTTTTAAAAAGAAGCAAAATAGCAGGATCATTTTAGTTGCTGTGCTAAAGTACATATGTTTTTTTGTCTTGTGGCTCTGAATTGATCTATTGCTGGAGGATACGTTGATTATTTCTTCCTGCATTCTGGTGTCTTGTGGCTCTGTTGCTGGAGGATACTGTACGTTGATTATTTCTTCCTGCATTCTGGTGGTGTGTTTCCTTTTTAAACAGTTGAATAACTTCAGTTTAATTGGCTTTAACATATTTGCCTGCTTGCAATATAGTTTTACCTTGGCTCTTAGGAAAAGAAATCAGTTACACGTAGTTTTGAGGATTATTTTGACTCCATTGTTTCCAAATTACTCTCTATCCCAACTATGTGTCTGTTTATGTGCGTGTCCTTCTGCAGGAGGAAAAACTGTGCCTCATCCCCTCAGACGGTCCTGTGGAGTCGGATGCAGCCATCCGAGGACAGGATACCTTGGCAGGCCACGCTGGAAGCAAGATCCTCCAGCTCCTCCTCTTCCAATCACTCGGAGAGCTTCTCAAGGCTGGGCAGCAGCCCCTTAGAAGTCCCCAAGGCCAGGTGAGATGCCACTGAGCCTTGTGCCTCAGAGCAGTCCTTGAAAAGTTGGGGGAGGGACGAGAACCCTGGAGCAGCACAACCAGTGTGAACAAAACAGGTAGGTTGGGCTGCAGAAATGGCGGCTGTAGCATTCCAGCCGGTCTCTCTACAGTTAAGTCTCTCTGTGTGTGTGTCTGTGTGTTTTCTCTTTTGGAAAGATTTGTGCATTCGGAATACATACGCCACATGAATGTAAACACTATTCCACTTCAAAGGGGATGCTTTTTGGAAACGTCTTGGCAAAGGCCCTTCTCAAAACAGCCTTTGCCCAGCCTTTGCCATCAAAAATTTGCTAGTGACGACTTGCCACTTTTTAGCGATGCCCAGATTCTGTCCCCTGAGATTGCTGCTCTCGCTGTCTGATGGTAAGCCAGGCCATGACAGATACAGTGGGAGGAAGAGGAAGGCCGCCACAGCTGAGCTTTGGTGGTCATTAAAGGCTGGAGGTCTGGGAACTACAGAAGGGACTCTATTGAGTTGAGTTTCTGCCTTAGGAGAAGAAGGGGCTCTATTGATTTGAGTTTCTGAGCCTACATAGTTCTGCCGAGTTTTATTTTGCCTTTGGTAATTTTCATGTTTCCTCTCCTTCTGAGAATTCCTTCTCTGGCTATGAGCTCTAGTAACTTGATTTTTTAAAAAATGAAAGTCTTGGCAAAGGCCCTTCTCAAAACAGCCTTTGCCCAGCCTTTGCCATCAAAAATTTGCTAGTGACGACTTGCCACTTTTTAGCGATGCCCAGATTCTGTCCCCTGAGATTGCTGCTCTCGCTGTCTGATGGTAAGCCAGGCCATGACAGATACAGTGGGAGGAAGAGGAAGGCCGCCACAGCTGAGCTTTGGTGGTCATTAAAGGCTGGAGGTCTGGGAACTACAGAAGGGACTCTATTGAGTTGAGTAGCCTACATAGTTCTGCCGAGTTTTATTTTGCCTTTGGTAATTTTCATGTTTCCTCTCCTTCTGAGAATTCCTTCTCTGGCTATGAGCTCTAGTAACTTGATTTTTTAAAAAATGAAATGAAGTTGATATATTTGGCGCTGTCAGGTACTGTTTCTAGATGTCAGAGCTCTGTGTGTTTGTAAATGAAAAAATGAAGGTGTATACAGTAAATTGGGGTGACGTGGTGCGGGCTAAACCGCAGAAGCCTGTGCTGCAGGGTAAGAAGACCAAGCAATCGTAAGATCGAATCCACGTGACGGAGTGAGCTCCCGTCGCTTGTCCCAGCTCCCGCCAACCTAGCGGTTCGAAAGCATGCAAATGCAAGTAGATAAATAGGGACCACCTCGGTGGGAAGGTAACAGCATTCCGTGTCTAAGTCACACTGGCCATGTGACCACGGAAAGATTGTCTTCGGACAAACGCTGGCTCTATGGCTTGGAAACGGGGATGAGCACCGCCCCCTAGGGTCGAACACAACTGGACAAAAATTGTCAAGGGGAACCTTTACCTTTATCTTTATACAGTAAATTGGCATGGGGGAAGTGAATATTTAACAGAATTCTGCCTGACCTCTGTTTTTAAGCTTTTGCAAACCTTCTGTGCTTTGGCCTTATGACATGCCTTGCTCCTCTTTGTGCTCAGAAAGGAACACTAGATAAGTTATGTTGGTCAGATGTTAGCGGAGGACTGAGTAGAAGACTAATGTCTCTGTGTGTGGCAGAAATGTGGTCTTGAAAGATGTTAGGAGGGAGAGGGGTTTCATGCAAGCAGACAAGGTTGAGCAGCATGGCATAACATTTTTCTCATACGGCACCTTGAAAGTGCGAAAATGGTGGGAACCATTGCATGGGTTTATCAGGTAGATGTGTTTCTCTTCTTCCCTCTCCTTCCCCACACCCTCCACGCTGACTCCATCACAGATTGCTTTCAAATGCTTGCGTGAGTTTGATTTTAGGAGCCAGTGTGGGAAGAAGGCAAACTTTAGCTTTGGTTGGTGCATCTGAAATGGTCCTAGGATGAAAGCTCCTTAGGGACAATATCTTTAAAAACCAGCACTCTCTAGCTGTTCTCTTTTGGGAAGCTCCTTAGGGACAACATCTTTAAAAACAGCACTCTCTAGCTGTTCTCTTTTGGGAAGAGTTGAAGTGCACACATGCATGCTAACCCTTCAGAAAAGCATAGGCGGAAACTTGAATTAGGACAGTGGTTCAGAATCTTGAGTACCCCAAGTGTTCTTGGACTGCAGTTCTCAGAAACCTCTACCATCCACTGTGCTGGCCGGGGTTTCTGGGAATTGCAGTCCAAGAACACCTAGGTTGCCCAAGGCTGGGAACCACTGGTTTAGAAGATGGATTGCAATGATAGACGAGATGAGATTTGACTGCAAGGTCCAGGACAGTGTTACATAGAGGGAGGAAAATAAGGAGTGTTTTCTAAGGTAGTAGAAAAATACATTTTCATAGGTTAGGTATAGTTTTGAAGAGTCCTAGCATTGTCTTCATTGAACCCAAGGTGGAATTCTAAGCTGTCTACAGTCCTTCTGAGTCAACCAGAAAGGCTTGAATGGTTAAATGCTTATTAAAAATGTAAGGACATTGAGTGCAACAAGAAATGACTACTACGAGATACTTTGAAGAAGATGTATCTGGAGAGGCAAAGAGAGGGAAGGACAAAAGATCAAAAACCAGGTTTGAATCAAAGAATTTCAAGCATAGTTACAGGAAAATGAAGCACATCACAAAGGGCTACGAGATACTTTGAAGAAGATGTGTCTGGAGAGGCAAAGAGAGGGAAGGACAGAAGATCAAAAAACTAGGTTTGAATCAAAGAATTTCAAGCATGGTTACAGGAAAATGAAGCACATCACAAAGGAAGTAGTTAAACTGTGAAATACAATGGAGAAGATGCTACTTTACATTCAGTAGCACTACTGTATTTGAGATGGCTGATATTGGCTTACTATGTACAATGGAGAAGATACTACTTCACATTTAGTAGCACTATTTGAGATGGCTGATATTGGCTTACTATACTTTTGCGTCAGTCTAGCTTTCTTCTCTAGGGCTGATCCTGTCTGTCTGTCTGTCCTTAGATTTGGAGGGGCCAACCATATGCAGTAGATGGGAGCTTTGCTTGTGTCCGTTCTGTTGGGGAGGAAGATTATCTGGGACTCTAGGCAAAGCGTTACTAAGGAACTGGTGAATTAGACGAATCTATTTCAGACTTGTTTCAGCTGCTTTGCAAAAAAACTCTTGTGTGTAACTGTGCCTATGGATGCAACTTGCCCATTGTCTGATTTTTAAGGTTTTTCTTTGGGTCTAATTGTAATCTTGCTGGACTTGTTTACATGCTAGACATGTTAATTTTCATATGCCATCCTTCTATAACTATTGTTGGAATTGCTGGGGAGGATATCTCAGGTGCTTCTCCTCCCCTCCAAAAAAATATTGAGGGAAGATGGTGTCATTCTCCTAAAGCTTAATGTGGAGTGGTCAACATATATCCCATGGGATATTTGCCCACCAGCAACCCTATATTACCCTAAAATTTGGGGGAATGTAAAAAAAAAATGGGCTCAGAAAGTCTCTTCGTGCCTTTTAAGCTAGGAAGCGTGGGGAGTTTCACCATGTTTTTAAGGAAGGGCAGCACCTCTGGACCCTTATATTTCTACATGCTTCTTAATAAAACACCTTTTCTTCTTAACTGTCAGGACGCAAGGTTTATCTGCTTTGATTTAAAATTTAGTAGTCTTACTAGAAGAAATTACTTCGGTAAGGCAGACTGCCAGTTATCCTAGATGATCTGGAAAAGGAAGTAGCTGTGAATTACATGTTTTCTGTGTGGTGCTAAGTGCCAAGAGGATAGTCTGTATGAGAAAGAGAAGCATGAGGTCTTTGGAGAACAGAGGATGCCAAAAGGAAGACTTCCATGAGACATGGAAGAAGATGATATTTGCTGGGCCACAACTCAGGGTTTTCAAAGTGTTTGTTGCAGTTGTGGGAATTAAACACTTATCCCTTACCAAGGGAGAACGCAGGCATTTTCAGAATATTCTAATATGATCCTATAGAGTTACACATAAACCCACAGTCCACAATCCATAGCTGTAGGGCTTACATGTAGTCTGGAGCTATGGATGGTTGATTTGGGTCATGACCAGCTGATTGGTTTACATGTACAGTAGTCTGGAGCTATAGATGGTTGATTTGGGTCATGACCAGCTGATGGCACTCCTTTCTGGCTCCTACTATATGGTGACCATGGTAAGACCGCTGAGTACCAGCCCATCATGTCTCTCAGCATTGGAATGGAGAGGCACTTCAAGGTCTATGCACTAATGCAAAAACTTGTGGGATGTCACTGAAGGGTACCAGGAGGTCCAAAGTGCTCCCAGGAAGCTCCAAAAGTGGCACATTGTGTACAGCTGTTCCTGGGCATGGCAGTGCCATTTCCCAGGCATGTCCTCAGCAAGGGGCTTTGCCTTCAGGTAGTCCTGGTGCTCAGTCCACTTCCACTGAGCCAACTGACAACCCTCCCTGCACAAGAGGAAAGATGTCTGAAAGAGGGCAACTCAAGGGGCAGAAACATTGGGCTTCTTGCCTTATTCCTTATGCAAGGAGAGGTCCTTCCCATCACTGTTGTCCAGTCCTTTTTTAAATGTTAAGCAGAAGATGGGAATATCCAGACTGCAGAGATTCACTAACTTGTCCCATAGAGGTTTGTTGGACCTCTTAGCTGCTTGGCCCCAGGGGTCCTACAAAAATTCCATAGACTATGGATAATCTTCAGCTGGTCCTGCAACCATTTAAGGCCAACTACTGGGGCTACACTTGAAAGCAAATTGTGTTATCTTTGATCACTGATCTTTATGACAGTAACCTCCTTTCCTGGCTTGGGTCCACTTCCCCCTTTCCAATGCAGAAGAAGGAGAGGACTAGCAAAACGAGGTAATTATGAGCCAACAGTATGATTTGGCTACAAAAAAGACAAATGATATTTTAGTCTGCCTCTTCACGGATTGCTGCC